AAGGTAGACCAGGACGAAGACGTCGAGGAGGTCCCCGAGGACCTCGTTCATCAGCGCTTGGAACGTCGAGGGGGCGTTGCAAAGGCCGAAGGGCATGACGAGGTACTCAAAGGAGCCGTACCGCGTGCGGAACGCTGTCTTCCACTCATCGCCAGGGGCGATGCGGAGCAGGTTGTAGGCTCCGCGGAGGTCGAGCTTGGTAAAGACTACCGCGCGGGCCAGCCGGTCCAGCTGCTCCGAGATCAGGGGGATGGGGTAGCGGTCCTTGACCGTGACGCTGTTGAGCCCGCGGTAGTCGACGCAGAGGCGGAGGGAGCCGTCCTTCTTGGGCACGAACAGGATCGGCGCGGCCGCAGGGCTCTTCGAGGGGCGGATGAAGCCTTGGGAAAGGTTCTTGTCCAAGTACTTCCGCAGCTCGTCGAGCTCCTTGGCAGACAGGGGGTAGAGGGGGCCGTGCGGTATGGTCTTGCCGGGCTCCACAACGATCTTGTGGTCGCTAGGGCGGTGCTGCAGCAGGGCGTCCGCACGAGCCTCGTCAAAAACGTCAGCGTAGTCGGCAAACTCCCGCGGGAGCTCGGAGGGCCCGTCCGGTGGCGGCGGAGGGTCTCCTGGCTCCGGCGGTTGTTCGCCAGGGAAGTCGTGGATGGTGCAGATGCGGATAGGGCCTTCTTCTCGGGCTAGCCGTACGAGCTCCTCGGCGTCGACGAACTGGAAAGAGCGGGCGGAAACGGCCGCGGACACGATACGGTAGGGCACGCTTGGCGACGCGCTTCCCGAGGGGCGGGTGCGTCGCCGCGGTGCCTTCATAATCATCTCGCAGCGCTCCCAGTCGTACTGCGGCTGGGTGCGCTCCATCCAGTCCAGTCCGAGGACAAACGGGTGGCCGCCGGTGGCCACCAGGAAGCAGGGATGCTTCCTCGCGACCACCACGCCTCCGATCAAGATGTCCACGCGGGCGACTTGCTCCACGGGGACTCCTCGACCGTCGAAAAGGTAGGCTACTCGCGGCTTCGGTAGCGTCTCGATGGAGGCCTTGGCCTGCCGGGCCACCGCGGGGTCGATGAACGACGCCGTGGCCCCTCCATCGATGAGGGCCAGTCCCTCGGCGCCTGGGATCGTCACCTCGCATTCGTACGTGGGGACGTCCGGGTGCCGCAGGATGCGAATTACCCCGGTCCTCGCGTCGACAACAAATGTCTTCCGCTGGGCTCCGAGGAGGGCCGCACAGGCTCTCAGGTCGCAGGGCGACCCGACGCGGGATGACCTTAGGCCCACGCCGGGAGATCGTTT